ATAACGCGGTAATAACTTAACTGTCTCGGCTAAATGGTTGGGCCAAGGATTATTTTTTTAATCCTATTTCTACACCTGATAATCCCTTGAAAATTTATGTACAGGTTGAGTTTACTTTTATTACACATACTAACAATCTGTTCTGTCCAATGGCGCTTAAACGTCATTGTACTATAACTGTTTGTGTACATACACTATAACTGTATACATATATAACTAATAAGCAGTGTATATTTTACAACATTTTACGAATCGTCTATAACGCGCATATGGTTAAATATATATAATATATATATAAACATGTTGAATTTAAAGATATGTTTACGTGCACAATAAAATTGCTATTTCTTTAGCGGTGTTAACATGGTGATAATAAGAATAGAATCGTATATTTAAATACTTGACTATATTGTGTATAATTATATCGTAAATATATATTTATATACCTTGTGGATAATTAATGAAATTGGTCCTTATAATTTTTGTAACACGATTATATGCTTTATGTTCAAGTACCTCTTTTGCAAAGAAAATTTTAGAACCCAAAATTATACGTAACCGCTTGATTATTACCTACTAACTAGTTAATGATAGTTAAAAAATGTTGTAGTTTCTTTTCGAAAATTATTTATATTTTTCTAGGAATTAATAAATTATTATTTTTAATTGGTAAGGTGATATTAATATTTTTGTTGTTATAATGAAATTATTCTACGAATTAAATGGTTTTTTATTTCCTTGTATAAAAACATCAGATAAAAATATATGACCGAGTATTATTATAACTGGATAGAGGCAACTCATATCAAAACGTTTATTACATTTTGAATACATAAAAATAAAAACTGCTCTACTTAACAACGCTTTATCGGTAAAAACATTAACAAAGAATTTGAAGTTGGAATAACGCCTACATAGATTTTGAAGTCTAACTTTTTAAATTCAAATAATTTTTTTTTTTAGACTTAATGTTTTATTAAATTAATAACAAATAAAATCACAAAATTATAATTGTAATTTATATGTTTATTTGAATCTAATAAATTACCTAAGTGTCTATTAAGATTGATATAGTTATTGTATACTAAATAATCTTTTTGGTTTACTGAAACACAACTGTGGATGTAAATCAAAACGATCTTTTTGAATAGATAATCATACATTTGGAATCTATAATATCAATATGTATAATAACTATATAATTTTCTCGAAATTAAAAATATTTAAAATACTTCAAATATATGCAACCAACGTGATCGAGTAGAATTCATACCAGGAGCAACTACTTCTGTTAATGTGGAATTATATTTTATGCGGTTTATACTGAATAAAAATTTGAACACATTCAAATCTTGTGAACAAAACGCACATAGGCACATGCAAACGGTTCAGAACAGTGTTAACTTGACTACTTGAACGCGTCGAATTAATGATAGTTTCTAAGATTCCTATACAGTTGAAGGCACCGACAAAAACAAAATGTAGCGATCTGAACTGTACATACAAATTTAATATATATATATATATATGTACTATGATAGTGTTAGTGTATATTTTTATTTGTTTTAATTGAGTTGAAGTAGGCGAACGCAAAAAAAAAAATGAAAAACAAGTGATCGCCTATTACTATTATTCGAAAGGCCGCGGTACGTCGATAAGACTGGAAACGAATATTGAAATATATTCAATATTCGTACGGCGAAAGTCGATGTACAGTGCAATAAACGCGCACGTACGCGGAGGAGTATCGCGAACTCTATTATTATTATTGTTCGTTCGTTCGGTTTGCCTCCGCTATTTAATAGAAACGTTTGTTCCGTGTCGTATATTTCTTTCGCTGCATAATATTCTTGGGAACGCACGGCGGCGTCAGTGGCAGGCGGTGGTTCTCGCGACGTGTCAGTGGCGACGATAAATAACGACTATACGTTTGGCCGAAACAAAAACACACGGCCCGTCCCGCAGTTCTAATAATAAACGCGGCAAATTAATGGAACCCGTCGGCCACGGCGGCGCGCGCGTGTGAGCCAGCGGTCGACACAATGCACTTTTCTCCGACGCTGCAGATGCCGCCGCGCGGTCGGTCGTAAACATAAATCTAGAGGAGGGGAAAAACGCCTTTCCCCGCCGAACGTGCTTGCGACGGCCGTGTTTCTAATTTGACGCGCGTTGCTGAGAAAAACTTTAAACGCCGGCCACGGGCACGCTAAAAATAATTATACGCGACCACCACCAGCACCGGTGGCGCGCGGTGGCGACCGCGGTTTTCCTCAACCCGGGTGTCCCGCCGCGCACCATCATCCCCGACACCACTCTTCGTTACGCCCTAAGCGCCGCTACCACCGTCGACCCGTGACACGCTCCGGCGTACCGCATCCGCACAGAGAAGCTGCGTGTCGTCCCGCGCTCCAGCACATAACAGTAATAACAAACACGTTACAATGTAGTTGTTGCTGTTGTCGTGTATTCACAGATGGACAGGGGACGAGGAGATCCCTGCGATTTTCGTGTAACACTACGCGACCGTTGTCGAATCTCAGCGTGAACGCGACCGATTTCCCCGTTTAATCTTCGCAAAAGCCAAACGACTCGGTCGTAAATGAATCACAGTCGGAAAAGATAAACTCAAAACATTAAATTTTAATGAAATAAAAAAATCTATTGTTCCGTCATTTAACGTCGGTTTGCGAGCGCGCGCGCTCGGACATTGTAATTAATTATTTCACGAACGTTCTAGTAAACCGTGCTGCGAGATGACATAACCGTTGAAGAATTTAATGTATTTTCTGTTTTATTCTGCGTGTAATGCAATAAATACTCATCTAAATAAAAAACACGATTCACTCTGTAAGAATTCAACATTTCGTTATTTTGAAGTCAAAAACATTTTTACTCATTTTTTTTCTGAATGCACGGCTTTAGTATTGTTTGATTAAATAAGTATATGTATATAATTATTATGATTGTGGTTGTTTAAGCGGTAACGTCTCGGGTCATTTTCCACTTGAAATTAATATTATAACTTCATGTATCGTATAAACTATAAACTGCATATCAAAATTGACAATATACTTATACATACGTATTTACACGTGCCATTATTATATAAGTATTTCCACTGCGTTTTATAATTCTTGTTATCGTTTCTTTTTTTACACATCGTATTAAAAATACAACAAAACGAAAATATTTTTTGGTTTACGTAATAATTATCCGTGTGCACGATTTAGTTCCACTAATGATTTATCAGTCAACTAAGTGTTGAATCAATTTCAAAGTTTTCAATTTGTTGCCGTTTTTCCAAATTTATGATTTAATTAATGGTGTAGGTACTGTGGAATGACCAAACATATTCTGACAATACGTAAATTTATTATATAATGAATATTAACAGTTTTAATGTACTTGATTTTTATGCTGTTAATATTATAAGTATTTTTTGAATCATTTTTATGTTTTGTCCGTATGTATAGTGGTGACTAATTCGTAAGAATATTACAGTGAAAAATGTTTGAATTTTGTTGTATAAATCACTGCAATGGAAATGTTTTTATAATAATTATATTCTGTTCGAAAGAGATGGAGCAGATTTGAACTCTTAATTTTTGCTCTTCAAATTATTTTAAATGTTATCTTATATCTATGTTTCAAGAGTTATCAATGTGCCACATACAAAATACATATATATATATATGAGGTCCATATTTGATTAAAAAAACGCGCTCGTCAAAGATAAAATATTCTCGTTTTTGCTTAAAAAATTTGAACAAGAATCGTATAGTTGGTTTATCTATAACTCGAACTAATATAATATAGTAATTATTAATTGTAAATTTCATGGTTCTTCTATTAATTTAAGAGGTTTATTTTTTAATTTTATTCAAATCACCCAGTGATCATTGGTCGGGAAGAAAATGGGCGTAAACAATTAAATAGGAACATATAATATACATTTACGTCCATAAATAAAAGGACATGTAACTGGAAAACATTTCCTCGCTACTTGGTGGTGGTTTTTAAAACATCGCGTTTCAAACAAAGTTAGGGCGGTTAACGAATAATTTCTAATATGAGGCTAATTCGGGAAACGTTACAATTAACGTTACCGGGAAACTACTCAGTCACGAACAATTCGATTAAACACGTGCAGCCTATTCGTATTTATAATATGGACAATATCTATATGAACGATTCAGCTAGTGTCGTGACGAAAATAAAAATTACGAAGTGAACGGGAGTTTAATGTGAAAAAGAATCATAATTACGTCTTCCGGATGAATCACGGACTGCATGCATAGAAGTGGCGGATTTAACAGTCGTTAAGTCGGCGAATGCTGATGGGGTCCCTTCCTAAATTGTTTACTGATGCCTAAAAAAATTGTAGTTAATTTTTTTTAAATTTTACCACAAAAAAAAAATTATGATACAAACTGTAATTTCGTTTACAAGCAGCTTTGCAAAACGGGGCTAAGAATGTTAGTGATACATTTATTACGAGGCCCCTCTTTTGGATATACCGACTTAATTTGAACCTTTAAATCCGCCACTGCCGCGTAGTACCGGTAGATCCAATTTTATCGAAAGATTTACGTACACGAAAAAAAATAAAAATAAAAAATGGAAAAAAATACAAAATAATGAGATAGACAGCGTACAAAGAATGATGACGGGGACGTGTTTTATAATAGTGTACATATACTATTATATTGGTGTACTTATTATATATAAATACATACGTACACACCACATAATATATTACATGTATATTTTCTACGTACACACAGAAAGAGAGAGACCACACGTGCGACAAATCCACGACATTCGGCTCGGCGAGCGTGGTCGCACTGCTGGCCGGTGGCGCCGGGGTAGGTGGCGCCCCGTGCGTGGAGACGCGGTACTCCGGGCGACCGGTGGGTAGCGGCGGCGATGTCGGCGAGCCGGTGTGTTGCTGCAGCGCACATCGTCGTCGGCGAGTGGTCGCGGGGTGGTGTTACCACCGGGCTGGCGGCATAGTTACCCGACGACGTCGGCGGCCGTCGCCGTTCCCGTTTTCTTTACTCGACTCGCGCACGCGCGTCCGCCAGCGCGCGAACGTTCCATTCCATTCCATTCCACAAACGCACACACTGTACGTGTGCCGCGCTCGCCGCCGCCGCCGTCTCCGTTTCGTTCTCTTACCACCCGTCAGTCTCGTACCGATCGGCCGACACGACGTGTGCTTGCCGTCCAACGTCCGTTCCGAACTAAATATTTTCGTTCTCCCGTTCGATTATTAACGAATCGCCCGTTGCTGTGCGTGTGTTCCGCGTATACGACAACCGTAATAACATGCGAGCTGATTTTCGTTGCCTGCGCTAAGTTCTCCCGTCTGCGATTCGCGTACGCATCCCCAACATATCACCTAATTATTTATCCTCCGATCGCCGCGCGGTGCGTTACGCGTATGATATACTACTTGTCGTCGTGGTGCGCAGTTAAAATGTGTGCGTAGGTATTATTGTTGCATCGACGGTGCGTGAAAACAGGAATATAATATCGTTGAAATAATAATAATAGCGCGAAATGATCGTGTGCGGTGGTGCTACGACAGCAGCAACAGTAGCAGTAGAAGTGTCCGTTGGCCGTGGTGGTATATTATAACGACGACAACGACGGCGGCGGCATCATCGAGGACGCCGCACGGACGACAACGGTCGGGCCGAAACGGATGCGTCCGGACAACGTGGTGCGCACGCCGCGATCACATATCAAGGTGCCGCCGCCGCCTCGCGCGCGTCTCGCCGGCCGCCGGCGGACCAGCGCAGTATTCGGTTCGGCGGGTCGGCGGAAGTAGTGGCCACCAAATGCGAGACGGCATTCACGTGTTTTATGTTCATGTTCAGGAGGAGGCGGACGGCATTAGCTAAACGCTTGTGGAAGGCACGGGTGCGCAGGGACAATGAAACCAGGTGTGCGGAAAAAACGTCCGCGACCGCTCAGCCCGCGACCACTGCTTCTGTCGCGCACCCGTCGCCCGTCGAGTCCGACGAACGGCAGTTCCGCAACGCGCTGTTCAAGCGGCTGGACGACAGGCAGCTGGAAACGTTGCTCCGGGCCGTGGACACAGGCGGCGTGGACGCTACCGAGTGCGTGGCCGTCCGACCGTTCCTGTTCTCCGATCCTGCGGTCATATGCTGCCGACTGTGGCGGTGGCCCGACCTCCGGACTGTCGAACAGCTGAAAAACACGCCCGTCTGTCAGACGGCCAAACAACCCGACATGGTATGCTGTAACCCGTACCACTGGAGCAAACGATGCGAGATCGGTAAGCGTGAACGATAATATGCATATTACTATGATTATCATTATACGTGCACTGCTTGTGCATGCGCGCCAAATGCTTACTAAAGTATTGCACATAAGTTATAATTAATATTATTATTACTCTCATTATCACGGTATGTTGTAGCCCCGCGAGGGGGTTGACCTCGCGGGGCCGATAAATCGTTTGAACACGCGTGTCTATTAATAACACGGACGCAATTAATTAACCGTATTGATAAGCGGTTGATTGTACCCTGGACACTATTCGTTACATAAGTCTAGAAAATTGCTCTAATTTTTTTTTCATTCTTCATGTTATTTATCGTTTGTTTTATCTCCCACACAAATTCATTGCGATCCGGTAGGAAATTAACCGATGAACATCTCGGACGAGTTAATTTGATATCTTTTTGTAGGGCTCGTGTTGTTTGTTCAATGAACATCGTTTTGCTATTCGCACGGAACACTGGGTGTGTACGTTTATTATTGCAACTTAACCTTCGTCCGTTACGCTTTTTTCCAGGATCCCTATCTAGTCGCTGATAAACGATGAACAACAATATGCTATGGCGGTTTAATTTATGTGATGTATAACACGCACGGCGACAGCGCGCCGGCAATCGTGTAATTCAATATTCTCGGAAATCGCTCTAGTGATAAGAGAATGTGATAAGATTGATTGGCATAATTTAATAAATAAATATATCTATAATATATTATGTATGTGAACATATTATATATTTAGGTGTTTACATACATATGTGGTTTGGAAAGAGAGAGACAGAGTGACGGAGACAGATTAAACTTATTACAGCGAAGCGGCGCCGGTCTCGTTATTGTATTATGACCATTAATATTAATTTGTGTATACAGAATAATACAGAATATACGGTTTCAAGTGAGTCAAGTGTTTAGGAGTGTTCTTTGTTTTTTCTTCGACATCGACTTTTCGATAGGTTTCTTTAATCCTTTATCCAATTTAGCTGTATTCGGTCGACCACTGCCGTTCGTTATAACATGGCGGCGACGGCTGTACGTAAAAAGTATATAATATTTATTTCGCGTATAGACATACTATCCGCCGATCCAATTGCGTCACACTTCACCTGGCCACCGCCGCCGCCGCCGCCGTCGTCGTCGCCGTCGGGCCGGATGAGAAATAAATAGCGCGCAGACCCGGTCACGCAACCCGACGGCGCCACCAGTTCCGCCGCGGCGCCCAACCGCGCGCGCGTCCCCCCCGACCCGGTCTGCCTTCCCCCCTCGATCCATCTCTCCGTTGGGTCTGCGGTGACGGCGTCGGTATATTACATACGGACGTGATGTCCGTCATCTCATTCCCTCGGCCAAAGGTAAAAAAAAATCCTCTTGGATATTTTGAATAAAAACCAATTTTTACTTACTTATTTGAGAAAATTATGAAGAAATCACCGATTTTCCATGGGACGTGGACTGAACTACGGCCAGAATCGGTTTTATTTTAAATTATTTATAAATGCTGGTCGGCGCCACACGTACAGTCGTCTTGCGTATTGGCACACGTCGGTTGTATTTATGTTGGCCGAAAACCAGGAAAAAAAATAACAAAATAATCGTTTTTCTCGATAAACCTCCTCCTTCGAACGTTTGTCTTAAGAGTTTCTAAATATCCATTACGTTTTTGTGTATTCAAATATATTTGTGTGTGTGTGTGCGTGTTTGACTGTGTTGCATATAAATAGTCTGTCGGCGCGCCCGAGTGTACGAATGGATAATGCAAACTTGTGTGGTCCTCGCGCACCGATGGAGTGAAGGAAGAAGAAAAAATTCTTGGTCGTTTTTTTACTATTGATCCCCATAAATATTCATTGCTCGTCATAGGTCGTACATTCTTAATCGTCTATTTAACAGTTTCAGCGATTATGGTTTTCCAACATAACGAATAATAATTTTACTATAATAATAATAGTAATAATAATTAATTCTACGGTTGCTAATTGATAATGGCGATATTATATATGACACGCCTTGTATTTCGCTTGCCAAATACTTGAACACATAATAATAGTAACTGTGTAATATGGTAAATGTTTTCAACACGATTTGGCTTTTCGGATAAGGTTCAAGCAGAAAATATAATCCTTCCGACTTATTATATTATTGCTTTTCGTATTGTTTCAGAACGACCTCCGCCTCCTTACTCAAGGTTTGTGAAGGAAAAACTGAAACCTGAAGGTAAGTGTTTTATTTAAAAATAACTCTTTAATCATTATTTTTATGGTATTGAGTTTGCATAAAATTGTTTTTTCGTGGTAGTTATACACATATTCTGCAAATATACTGCGTACGAAAAAAGCTAGGCGTATACATTTCATTGAAATAGTTTTTGTTAGGTGCATTTTAAAAGTTTAAGTTACACGTGCACATATTTTTTCTTATTCAAATTCGATGTAAAAACAAATTCAGTGGCACAAGGCCAAAATTTAAAGTGTTAGTGACTTTCAATTTCACTCTGATTTAACCGGTCGAAGAATTGTGGTGTGTCTACAATGAGTGTGTAGTATCTACTTATTGCTATTAGGTAAATCTTATCTCCATTGAAAATTTCATATTTTTTGAGACAAAAATTTAACTCTCTTCTTGCTCTTTGAACAATTAAATAATTTTAAATTTACTTAGGATTATTAATAACTTTTAAATCTCCTTCAATTTTATTTTATTTTATTTTATTTTTTTTGAGGAATATTTTAAGTTTTGCGTTTTTATACACAGTTAATTATAATTTATTCTTCCTTATCTATGTATAGTTTAATTTTATTAAAAAAGTGGATGTGTTAATAACAATGATTCGAACTTAAATAGGTATGGAACTATTTGATTTAGAAAACTGAATATCTAGGGTTTTATTATGTATCATTTGTTATCATATATTTTATATTTAATAATATATCAAGCAATTCTCTCTTAACATAATTCATAATAAATGATGTAGTGTTGAGTAGTGCTTAATTTTATATTCTAATACTAAAACTGTACAATGTATTAATGATAGAATTGTTGAAGTAAATTCTTTAATACTCTTGACGTACGTTCTTAAATTGTTCGTGTGATAGAAATACTTAGGTATTATTTTTCTGTGGTAGAAGCGAAAACTTTTCGAAGTAAAAGTAATCTTCCGGTTGCGTGTGCTCGAAACGACGCCTCCCCGAATGAAAAACGTCGTAAACTGTTCCGGTGTTGTACGAGAGGGTGAAAAACGATCTGAAATTCACCCCTCGGAAATTCCTATCGCTGCAGGCGACAGCAGCCAGAAGCAGGTACACGTGTGCCTTCACCCGGCGCGCACCCTCTTCTTGGCCTTTCTCATTTAACGACCTCGGTGAATAATAATCCGTTCGAGTGGAAGCTTGGAGATTAGCTATTGCTAGTACCGTTGAATTTCCGGGATTGCCAATGTAGACTACTGCATGCGAGGGAGAAAACAAAAGAATGACAGAAAATAGGACCATTAAAAAAAAAGACCTTAAATGTAATGGGGGAAATATCTTCAGAATCATGTGATTTTATGCGAGTATATGTAATCCATATTATATGCATTGATTATACTTTTTTATCCCCGTTACTAAATTCGTATATTTAATACCTGAAAATATGAGGTAAAATATTTTTGGAACTTTTTTGAACCTTATTGTAAATATAAAAATTGTCAATATACAATTAGGAAACTACATCATATATATATATATATATAACTATGTTGGTACTACCTTTGGTTTAATATGATAACATTTTACTTCATAATTATGGCTGAAAATGACTTTTATGTTGAAGATATTTTATGAGTTATCATCTTAATATATATATATATATATATATATATCTGGTTATGTATCAGTTTATATCAAATTAATTTAGGAATTGTTAAGGTGGATTTTCAATTTTCTATATTAAATATATAATTTTGTTTTAAACAATTTAATGTATCATATAATATGGTATTAAATTTTACAAATTTACATATCTAAAAACATTTGTTAGAAGGTCAACATCCTAACTAGTTTCATTTTTCAATGGATAACTATATAAAAATTACATTTAGTAAATTTTTACTCCTACGTTAATCTTAGGCTACTTTTTTTTTAATCAAATTAAGTTAAATTAAGTTATAAATAATCTCATCAGTTATTACTTATACTTCACGTATGTATTTAAATAATTTTTTAATCAGCATGTCTACCAAAGAAATCATTTAAAAGTTATGGTACTTCATTTTTCAACGTATTTTATATTAAATCTATCTTAGGTGTTTTTTAGTTTTTACAATGTATCGTGTGTTTTTAGCCCGAAGAATGCCTCTTAATATTTGATTTATACTTGTATTTAATTATAATACGATGTTTGGCGTTATTATTGATTACTAATAATGTAATTTAACTTGAAAAAAGAGAGTAAAAATCATTTTCGTTTTGCAGACAAAATGTCAAAAGGATTAATGTGTATCGTTTAGGGACGAAAAAAATGTGGATTATAAATTAGGCGTCTATAAAAATAACCCGCGTGTTAGTGTTCGTGTGTATAGTGATGACCGGGTGGACGGCGTTGGGTCCCGCAGTGAGAGCGAATCAGAGAATCATTCCTCGGGAATGTGGTCATCTGATTGAGAACAACAGTAGGAATAATATATTAAACAGCATCAAAAGAGCTTGTTGCAGAGTGTACCGCTGCAACCCCCTCTCGACTGTATTTTTTTTCTCACACAATAGAAATGTTACAGATTGTTTTTTCTCTTCACCGCATCGCAGCATCGGCCGTTCAGATCATATATATTTATTTATGTATTATGGCACTCCTATATTGTTTTGCCTTTTATTTATACAGTCATCAGTAATATTTTTCTATAGATACCGGTTGGCTTATTTATCTCTGGACTAGTCACGTCCAATTTTTCTCAGATGAGAGTGAAAAAATACTAACGAGTTAATAATGTCCAAAAAACATATTACGTACGTTTTTCATTTGTACTTAGTGTGAATCATAGGTTTTGTGTGATAATGGTGGTGGTGGTACAGCGTTCGTTGCGATAACAGAGATCTATATAATGGAAAAAAAGACATCCGATTATATATAAATTCTTGATAACGTAGCGGCATTTTTTATACACTTCATAATATCTACTATCATATGTAATATTATAGTATATAGTATCAAAAGGATAACGTATTAAAAAGGAAAAATAAAATATAAATTTTGATTATTGTAATTCGTCCAAAATATAATCGTTCGATAACAACATGTGTCCCATAAAAATTGACAACTTAATTGATAAAATTTTTATGATTTCAGATCGCGCACCTAGTGAATGTAGTTGGGACAGTAACGATGACGAACTTCGTGGTTCGTTCAGCACGGATGGTGACGGTAAGCATATATTTGATTATTTTATCCACACTATATTATTAGATTTATTTAAATACATTTATGGTATTAATTTTATGGTGTTGTGTTTGAGAAATTATTTTGTAATAAATAATACAGTGTAAAATACACAATACATTTTAATTATCATGATAATATCTCCTGGTATTGCTGTTGAGCAATGTTTTCATGAGAGAAAATATTTTCGTCCGTTAATGACGCTAATGACGAACATAATCGTGTGAAACCACTCGGTTTCTCTCAAACCAACCGACCGACCATTGCCCTTTAAATATTTTCAGTAATATCGTTGCCGAAGTAATGACTAAATAGACTGTAATTAGGTTTATGCCGTTTATTCTTCTGTTTGTTTTTGTTACATCCTTTTCACCGGCGCCGCGTGTAGATAATAAGCGTTGTGCGATATTGGTTAGTTATTAATATAAAATATCGTTTTACTCGTATTAGGATTTCCTTGATTTTATTATTATTATTATATATTTTTCTGCGAAGGACAACCAAAATAATAGGAACGTGAGAACGACGGTGCGGCGGCGATTGTCGTGGGCGCCGGGCGTCTCGGCATATGCCTTCTCTTTCTCTCTCTCTCTCTCTCACTCTTCGTATTTATTATTATATACACACAAACACGCGCGAGCACGCATACAATATATGTATATTGTAAAGCGGTGAATCGTTCGGGCTTGCGAGGCCGGGGCGGGGTCGGCAGATGACATTTTGCGGTGCACCCGCGCGACCGACTGGCGCCCGACCAAACTTTAAAAAAAAACCCAGCAAAGGTTAATTACGAGTAGCGACCACACGGAAACGACATAATTACCCCGTGGACCTCCGCCGCCGCCGCCACATTATTAATATATATATGTATTACATCCTCCGGACTTATTGAAACCGATATCGGAGAGACACAAGGTCAACGCGAATAACAAAGAATAACGAAATATTTAAAAAAAAAAAAAAAACACAGAACACGACGCACCGAGCAATCGTCGTAACAAGTGTTTTGCATAATTGTACGAATAATATTAATAACAACAGGATCGGTACGGCCGTTACCCGACCGCGCGACGTGTTACTTTATTCAACAAAAACGCCGCCACTCTGATGCCGCGTACACACGTGATAGGGCGCGCGCATTGTAGTTGTCGACAACAATAGTGTGCATTATATTTGTGTAAAAAAAAAAATAATTAGATACGTCGGTCTGATATTGTAGTTTTGTTTCTGTGTTATGTGCGTATTATACGTGCGAGTACATTACGTACGTATGTGTTATGCAGTCGGAATATTATTATTATTTATTGTGTTCTGATTCACGCCCGATGAAAATCTAACAGTTTTTTTTTTTTTTGTTCTGCTTCTGCGCGGTTAGCGTCTCCGCAGTCCGCGGATTATATTGCACACGCGAAATGTACGTCAAGACGTGGCAAGGATATTTTATTATTACGTACATTATTTATCGCGCGCGAGCTCGTTGTTTATCGTTTTCGCGGTCGCGGCGACGGTAATGAGCGGCGCCTGTTGGCGGCGACGACGACGGCGATCTACGATCGGTACCCCCCTCCTCCAACATACCTCTGCACCCCCCACCTGGGACGATGACAATGATGATTATGATTATGATGATGATGATGATGGTGATGACGATGATAATGGTGGCGGCGACGGCTGACGATGTGCCCCGGTGACGACGAATATTATTATGTGTGCAAGTGTACGTATGTAAATGTGAGTGCGAGCGTGTGCGTGGCGCGTGTGTCGTTTCGCCTTGTCAGTAGCGGTGGGGAAATAGACCGGCGACGTTGGTTTTTTTTTTTTTCCAAACCGCACACGCTACACACTCGGACCCCTCACCGCCCGCCACTGCTCATTCCCTGATAAAAATAACCATTACAAACGACGACCGGCCGTATCGCTGGCGCCCGTGACGTCACGCCAACGCTGTTGATTCGTGAACACATTGAAAACACCACAACAACCGTTGCAGTTGAAAAACACACCAACACACGAATCCCAGAACGAAATGAATAAAAACATCCGGCGATACGAAAATGTTGTCTTTGTCGTTGGTTCGCGGTTTCCCCTTTGGCGTTACGTGGACGACGGGTTGAATTATTGAATAAATGTTTCCTCCGCATTTAAGAACCCGTTTGTGTCTGAAGAAAAATCTGAAGGATAATTGAAAATCCTAACAGAAAAAAAAATGTTATTTAAAAAAAAAAAAGCATATTTTGTTTGTCTTGTGTGTGTGTGTTTTCGATTATGTATCGATGGGCAAGGGGGTTGAGTGGTTCGTGTGCTGTTGTGCTGCTAATGACGGGCTACGTGGCGCCCGGGCCTGACCCGATTGCCGGCATCCAAGCGTCCAATGCACACCAGGGCCATTCATCACAGGCGGCGGCCCCCACCGCGTGCGCTCGGTTCGTAGAACCGGTTGGTTGTCGTCTTCGTCTTGTATTCTCTCAGTGTTACCCGACCGCGTTCACACAAGGCTTACACAAACCCGGGCACCCGGCCGTATGTCCGTGCACGGCCGCTCTCTGTCGACTGCATTCCCTCGTCCGGCTGTTCACGTGTAATGATGATATTGTGATCGATTTTGCGGCCCTCGCGTGCATGATTGACGACTGTTATAATGCTCAAAGGGGTCGGAAGAGTCGGTCGCCGTACTGCACTCGCCTCTATCTTGCACGGGCACGGTCCATAGAGATTTCGGTGCGGCGGTGCGTCTGTCCGAACGCGGTGGTGATGGTAACAATCCAACGACCGGCGTGTTCTCTTGTGGCGCCAGGGTCATTGTCGTTAAACAGAATATGAGAAAAAAACCCAATCGAATTCGTATCATGCAGTATGTGTGTGTATGTGTTTTTTCGACTGTTTACACGTACAACGCACACTTGGTTGGTGGTTTCTCCTACGAAACCATCCGATTTCAGCCACCGCATGTTTAGCTTGATAAACGATTTAGTATTTTTTTTTCTTTTCCCGTTCTCTACTAACAATTATTATTACATTTTCACCGGCGTGTTCGGCGCCCGAGACCGGTTATTACGGCGGCAGCGTACAGTAATAACACAGGAGATATGACGTATTATTATAATAACGAGTAAAGCACTCGTCAATTTCGTATTTTTTTTCTCCGTACACATAATATATTATATATATATATATATATATTTATTTTATTTTATCGACTTTAATATTTTCGGCGGTCAGCTTTTCCCACACGCACGCGCGCGCTCTATCCTCGTTTGTGTCCATGAAAAATGCCGCCTCCGACGCGCCGTAACACGTATCACAGCCGGCAGCCGTACGCGCGTTTTAATCGGCCCCCGGAGCACCACGGCACGATCCTGGTGTGTTTTTGCGACAATTCGCCTGCAGGCGCCAATTACGAAAATTACAATGCTTTCGCCGCCGACGACGTAAATGTACACACTCACTCACACCCGAGGCGACGGCTATATACACGTCGTGTGAGTGTGTGTGCACGAGAACATCAAAGATACGCGCGGAATTCGTATAATAACATAATATATACACGCTTCGGCGGCTGCTATGTTTTATAATATATTAATAATAATAATAATAATAATAATAAAAAGTATATTGGTATAAGTACTGATGTAACGCGGTGTGTGCGTGTATAGGTGTAATACAAATAACGAGAAACCGGTCGTGGTAAAAATAATGGTAGTAATAGTGTCGTTGGTGGGAAAGAGGGGTAGAGAGTGCTCGTTGCCGCTGTTGCCGCCGTGCTTCTTCGTTCATAAACATATTAATATTGTCGACTTGTAATGACAGGATGATACTCTGACCACGATACTGATCTGTCTAGCGATTTAGAATTTTGCCTTTTTTTTTTTTTTTTTTTTTTTTTTAAAAAAAATCTCAGGACCAATTCTATAAAACCGTATTATAATGGAACTGTTGTTTTTCACGAGATTAATTAAATGTTGTTAAACAATTAATAATTAATCGGAAGAAACGAAAGGAGAAAACGTTATTGATGTGTACGTTAGGCGGACCAATGCAAGGATACAAATGTTAAAAATATACACTTAAAAACGCCGCGTGTGTTTTTGTGATTTTTGTATTGAGTTTATAATATAATAAACTGAGAAATGTTGTGAAGGGGAACAAGTGTGAAGTGATTCTTAACGGATATTTCTTTAAAGAGCGCCCGTGTGGCGGGGCAAACTCAAAATTACCTGAACTATGTATGAACAGACCGTAACACGCGCGTTACTAAAACCTTCAGTGGGCCTCAAACAGTTCAATGCATTGAAGTTGAACTATATAACGAAACCATTTTGAGAGGTTATTTATATCTCAAAAATCATGATCGAAATTATTCATTCTAACGTGTAGCCTTTGATGTTGTCAGTATTTAATTCAAACTAATTGATCATTTTGTTGATTAATGATGACTGAAAAAAGTTTGATAAACAGGTTTATGTGTAGGAATTGAAATTTACCTTATATACTTTTATTAAAATCATCATTATATGTAAATTGTTGAATGAAAACTCATACCATGCAAATTTACTTGTATAAATATTTTTCTGTTTTCTAAGATAAGTGTTAGTATTTGTTTTATACCTATTAGTCTTAACCAAACAACAATGCTCTTCTACCAGTGTAGTGAAATGGTGATGAGCGAGAGGGAAGAAGGGAAAGAATGAAAAAGAAAAACAAACACGGGAGCGACGATTGCAGTCGTTTGTTCTCTCGAAGAAGACTAATAGGGACCCACCGCTGCCGCCAAACCATTATTATTACTTACCTATACATACGTGCGTACGACTAAGCGGCGACGACGGAATATCCTTAAAAAAAAAAAATAAAGGTAGAGGAAGAGAAGGATGACGTCGTCGTCGTCTCGGTGGAATGCGAGTGGTGGGCGGCGCCCCATCAGCCACCACTGATGGCCGCCCGGAATGCCAGAAATGCCGCGTGTACCCAAAAACAACCGTGTTTGGTTATTAGTTTTATTATTATTATTATTTTTTTTTTAGAAAGTCTCCGTTTCCGACGTATACATCATCGTTCTTAATATTGGGTGTACTTATTAATGCCGAATTATCGTGACATTATATATATTTTTTTTTGATTAATTCGAATTTCTTGTATAAGTAAAATTGTTTTTTGGAATAGGTACATATGTAGCAAATATTAATTCATCGACTTTTATTGCTGTTTCTCGGATTGTACGTTCTATAAGTTTTGTTCTGTTGAGTTTATAAACCAGTTTATATAACGTTTACGTTTAGTATGTACTCTCTGTAAACGATTTGTTGAAACTGTTATTTTTTTTATTTTTTTTTTTTTTGTTATTGAATAGAAGAAAAAAATTTAAACAGAATTTAAGATCCATCGATCGCTTCTTCGATATAATCGAGAATCCCTTTCTGATTTTTTCTCTTGTTGTTAAACTCTGTTAAGACTATTCTAGTATGGATAAATCACATGTGGTTGTCATCGTTATTGTATTTTATATTATGATTCGTATTAGTGGTTACAGGACGTAGCGACATGATCAGGACACCATCAAACGAAACACCGTAGCCCTTGACGTCTACATTTTTGTCCTTTTTCGGTTATTCGCTCGTTTGATTCCGATTCATTTTTTTTTCTATCTCTTCACTGTTGTTCTTATATACGATCGTCATTACTTAAACATGGTATAGGAATTTCACTAATGCAATATAGAATAAAAGAGGAATAATCAATATCACTTAATGACACTTAATTATTTGTTGTTTTAAATTATAAAATATACTGTAATTTAAATTGCTTTTATATTTTTGATTTTTAAACTACCTTAATAAGTTACATTTTATGTATACATATGAATATATAAACTAACTAAACAAATTTATGAATAAAGTATTATATTTTTGTCTATAGAAAAACCAAATGAACAAGAATGGTGTAAAGTGGCGTATTGGGAACTATCGCAAAGAGTTGGAAGGCTATTTCCTGTTGACACAAAATTTGTGAATGTTTTTTGGAATGTTCCGTTGGGCACTGGTTTGTCATTAGCCGCTCTCACTCAACATCATTTTCCACCCACACAAAGCCCTCCTGAGTCTGTGCTCAGAAACAGGACTAAAATCGGACAAGGTATTTATTAACCAAACTGTTATAATTTTACTTTTTCGTTTACTGTAATTAGTTTTTATTGATTTCTTTTATAATTATAGGTCTAGCTTTGAGCCGAGAAGAAGATGGTGTATGGGCATACAACCTAAGTGATTGGCCTATGTTTGTCAATTCTCCAACGCTGGACGATCCGGACAGTAAATCATATCTAGTTTTTCGAGTACCATCCGGTCACTGTTTGAACATATTTACGGGCAACCCACATGGTGACCGAATACGTTACTCGAATGGGCTTCGAGTGGGCCCTGTTGATCCTAACGCTGTACGCATTAGCTTTGCCAAAGGATGGGGGCCTAAGTATTCTCGACAGGAAATAACATCCTGTCCAACTTGGATCGAAGTGTTACTTGATCCTTGCAGATGACACAGGGTGACCGCAAACAGAATATGAAATGGCAATGTCATTCTCTAATTCTCAAACTAAAACACTAGTTTTAAAGACTAATTTTATTGAATTTGTGACTCAAACCAAATTGTGTTAAAAATGTGCGTTTAGGGTTCATGTTTGTTGATCTTGTATGTACAACGTTATTGTCTACAAGATCTTTAAACAAACTAAATTATTGTTTTTTTTTTTAATTTTAATTTTTGTAAAAACAAAGGATACCATTGTGATATTAGTTCAGCGTCCTTAACGACTGCTCTTTTTGTTAAGGGTACGATGCTATTTTCAACACGTAAGAGAAACTAGAGCTTAATGACATCCACATTCCATGAATTAATATTTTGAAATTTACCCTTTTCCCTCTAAACCCGTTTTTACAGATAGTTCCTCCTCCAATTTAATATAAACTAGGTTTTTGTAATTTTTTTTTTTTGTGATCTAGTCAGGATATTATAAATTGACTGTTGATCAAAATTGGTTAAGGAATTCAAATAGAATAGCTAATACTAAATTATTGTAATTTAATACTAATGTTTTGGCAATTTTTTCATATAAATGAAATGTTGTTAGATTTTAAGTGAAATAAATGTGCCTTGTACCTTTTACATGAAAAGCATTATTTTTTTAGATGTTACCAATTTTAACTATTCATTTTCTTATTGTAAAAAAAACTATTTTCTTATATAAACTAAATTGTAGACTACGTATAATATTATAATATATTGAACTGTTAAATAAAAATATATTGAAGACATGAACAGAATTTTTCACGGCTCTTGTTTTTCACAACTGTCAATATTTATTGGACTTTTTTTTAAAAAATTCTTATCAGTTCTAAGCTACTTTTGTCTGTTCCTGTCTTATGACTATTGTATTCATAATTTTTATTTTCGTTTGTGTTTTAAAATACATGTATGTTTATTATTGAAAGTGAAGAAGCGCATAAATATATTTTCGGTATCATGTAAATTAAATTTAATAAAGTCTATTTTATTTAACCCAACATTTAATTTTTCCTCTTCCTACTAAATTAATTTCTAATGAACCAATATTAAAATGTTTATTTGTATATTTTCATTAAATGATAAATATTCTACTAATTAATGAATATATTTGTAAACATTTTAATTCATAAATTAAGTATTTTCATAGTACTTTGGTTATACAGGAATTTAATAAATTCAAACAATATATATTTTTACCAAGCTACAATTCAGATTTTTTAAACAAATACTTAGAACAGAAAAATAATACCTACTTGATTAGTCAAGATAAAAATATATTTTTATCAAAAATCAATTTAAATCATCTAAGAAAATATCTTGTTTTTTTGTTCATATGTTTTTTGATTAATGATAAACAAATAATAACTTAAGATATGTACTTTTTTTTTTTTTTATGTAAATTAAAAATTACCTGTCTAAATGCTTATAGATTATTTTTGAATATTTTAAATGGCAACAAAAAATAATTGGGTTATTTGATCCATTTTTGTTCTTGAACAGAACAAAATATGAATATTACTATATTTATTTAATGTATTATGCTATAATATATAACGTTATGTACTATAATGGTGGTTCTATTTTAAATTTTAATGGTTTAATGTAAGCTCTACATAGTATTGGCCAATAGGTACAAGGTTGAATTTTATTCGTTAAAAAAAGACTGAAAAATATAGTTAAATTTAAATCTTAACAAATTTTATATCCTTCAGAAAATCTTTGAACATGTATGATCAGCACCAACAAGAGGTTTTTCAGGGTTCAGAGTAGATTTTTTCATGGGCCTCTAGAATTTTTTTTTGTGAAGCAAAAAAAAATGTTTCTTGGACGCCCTAATACTCATATGACATATTTTTACATTTTAAATAACATATGTAAGAACATTCTTCCTTTGTGTGGATATTGTACTTTATCATCAAAACGTCAACAATATTATTTATTAATTTATTATTATTATACTATATAATAAATCATAAATACCTACTAAACATAATATTAAAGTTAATAATAATATACACGTTTTCACATGACACTTGTTATTTAATTATAAAAACAAAATTGTAAACTTAAAAATTATTAAATTCCATGGAAGGCGCAAAGCCTTTAAAATGGCGGATCAGGCAGCCTATTGGGTATGTTCAAAAATTATTAGTTTCAATGACAACGAATATATGAAACACTATTTATTAATTTAAACTATGAAAACAGTACATGATATATGTCCTTACATTCATTGTAAGCATGGAACTATGGAATATATTGATGATGAAACATTTACCTTTTAATTATTTTATTTGTGTTTTCAAATGTAGTGCTTATCTACTTTAAGTATTTATCATACATACATACATTGTATAAAATATAGATTATACTTTACAAAAATACAATTTTACTGAAATTATATTGTATAATAACTCAAGTCCACTATGTTAATATTATATAGTTATAATTATTATAATTTCATTGTATAGATTGTGAAATTAAAAAAAAAAAATTATAAACAAACTAAAATTATAAGAAAACCACTCATTGTGATTTTAAATACTATAATTTCATATTGAATTATTACACAAAAATGTGAAATTCATACAATTAATTAAATTTAAAAATTCAATATAGCACCGTTCATCAAAACTGATACATTTATTATTATATATTTTTATATTTGTTTTATAATCATTATTATACTTATTATTCCGTAATTATTATTTTATAAATTTAATTGTGTCTTTGTATTAATTATTTAAATTATATACTATTGTATTATGTTAAACTGTTGTAAAGGACCCAGCCCGTTAACAAACAAATAAATAAATAAATAAATATTGTTTTAATACAATGATGATATTTGCATTAATTTATAAATCAGAATATTGCAAGGAGTATTGTATTTTTTCATACAAAACTACTATTTTTTTTCTTTTTTATATAAATTTAAAAACAATTAGATACATTTTTGAATAAAATATATTATTTTTAACAAAGTTACTACATAAAAATAGATTAACACTTTATCAAAAATACATATACCTACATTAATTGATGATTAATTACATTTAATTATTGACTTAAATTTTAATTTGAAACAGTTGATAAATTGCAATCAATAATATGTATTAGAGTTTAAATTGTACCATTGATTATAAATACTATAAATATATAATCAATGATTATACCAATGATCTACTGTTATGTTGACATATTTTGCTGTATAATGTATTAAACAATCTTATATTTTAACTTCTAGAATTTTGGTTCTTTATATTCAGAATTTTAGTATTTATGAACAATCTCTATATACTCTAATGTATATTGAACTTGTTCCTACATGGCTGGTATAATATTACAATTAAAACTAAATATTTCGAAGTTCCATCTTTTGTAATCAAGAACTTTAAATAAAAGTTTACGTGATATCTTCAAAAAGGTAGAAGCCGATAGGGGTAAATATCATATCAGAACTTCTCGTTACTATTCTTTCTCATATACCTCCAAAGTCTGAATCTACCTATTAACCAAAAGTTTATATTAATACAGTAGTATTAAAAAGTTATTAATAGTAGTTATTATAATCACTATAAGACAGTATATTTAATCAACAAAAATGGTCACAAAATCCATAAACCAGTAAACATAATATAAAACTTAATAGTGTTTTACTGTTCATTCGACTATTATATTCGTTCGGTTCGTAGTCTATATGGGCGTATATTGTGGTAATTATTATACATTCTACCATTGATATAAATACTAATATTTATGATCATTAATATTACGTATTAGATTATTATGGTGCTTTATTCCTATATTTGCAATATATAGAAAACAATAAAACTGATATATATCACGTAAGAAATTATGGAGTTCGTTATCAAACAGCCAATCGGTAAACAAAAAAGAATTTATATTAATTAATAATACAATTAAAATTTTCAGCCATTAACCATATACGTTCTTTATTATACGTAAGGTTGCCAGATTTTAAATTCTCAAACCGAGATATCATGTTTGTAATTCAAATATTTATTATTGTGTATAACTATGTAGATTAAATGACTATAATATAATAATATAAAGTACAATATTGTTCTATGTTTTATTAGTAAATAATACAATATTAAATGTTATTTTCTTTCAGCTTCTATTAACCGGAACAAATTGGATGATCGGCCGGGACACCGATGCACGGTGCATGCCTTTAAAACCGGGACGAATGGCAGGCTTAATTATACGGGATCGCCCCGCTTTTCAACTTTGTGTCCTATTGCTTTGAAGAAAGTAGTACAGGGCGAATTTTTTCCTGTTTTTTGAAGCCTGTGCTAAATTAATCCCGTTCATTCCTCATTCAATAAATACAATTATATTTTTGGCTTATTATTCTGACTATTTAAGCTGATATATTGTCTAATTTTAAAATTGTTATTGTGTATAGATATTTCATTTATATTTAAAAATCTTTATACAACATACATTTATTTTGTTGAGTTAGCAAAAAAAAAAAAAAGTAATTTTAAAAAGGTGCATTCGCATGCAATGACATTTTTTGTACACGATATTTAATACATTCATTTCAATAATTACTTAAAATAACTTAAAAATATCATTATAAGCACTCAAATAAGAATTTAAAAACTTAAATTTAAACAAAAATATTAAGTAAAAAAGAAATTACTTCAAATAAGAAAAAATTATTGAAAATGTCTGAATTTTCTTTTTACATGAACATGATAAATTAGTAGATATATTTTTTAACTGTGCTGAATATATAACTAAAGATTACAAAAAATATTAAAACAAATTAATGTAATCAATATTATAATTTTTTAATAAAAAAAAATAAAACTTTATATCATAAAAAAAAAATTCTTACTTTGACTTTCGAGACATTTTTCCTTATTGTTTCCGGATTTTCTAATGGATTTTCTGTAAAATAAAATGTAAACAATATTTATAAATAGTTGAAGAAAATCTGGGTTAGGTCAAGGGCCTACATCATCGTTTATAATTAAGCAAATAGTTAAATAATTAGAAAAACAGGAAATAAGCATTTTTTTTTTAAAAATCGTTGAAATATAAAAAATAAAGCACTTTAAAATTTCATGATTGAAAGTTTTATAATATGAAATACACTTCCATAACACTATGCTACATTTTATGTCAAACCATAAAAATAAGCAAATGCTAAAGTCCCGAACCCAGCTTATCAGTTATCAATTTTATAGACTATTGTTTCTTATTCTTTAAAATATTAATTAGTATTTTATATAGTCGTATTTTGGTATATGAATATGGTTATTATAAGGTAAGTGGTTACTTGTTACGTTTGGTTGAAAATATTGGTAGGGCCCAAATTAATACATTCGTTTCTAGTACTTTAACGTGTAATATTTTTAATAGTTAAATTAATTAAATTAGTTAAAATACATTTTGAAGAAATATTCCTAATAGGTTACCATGTAATTCCTGTAAATTCAATGAATTCTTTATTAAATTTTCACTTTATAATTTTTTTTTATTTTGTACAGATTAGTACATTTTTTAGTAATTTACTTTAGTAAATTTTCTTTTAAACGAGAAAAAATACATCTTGTCTTAATGTAAATAAATTTATATGGTTTTTGTTAGCCTTTGTGTTAGTCCACTAGGCATCCTTTAATAAACATAGATTGTTGTAAAAAAATGTTTATATTTTTATTATTCATAGTTAATGATCATATTATGATTTATACTTACAAGGCAATAACTGTGTACACTGTACAGTTCTACAGCGTATGTTTGTTAAGATAACGTGACATGTCATTTTTGATAATAAGTAAGTACCTAGTTATATTTTATTAATTGCACCACTTGTGATCTGGTCTAAATACGACGTAGGTATATTAAATCGTATAATATGAATTTAATATGATACTAAACGCATTGTATTTAGTATTATTGCGCATATCTAAAATATAATTGGTTAATGGATGATGATCCATAGTCCCAGTGGTGGTTATAAGGGGAGGGGTGATAAGTGGATTACCTCCCCCCTGAGATTTGGTTTTTTTTTAAATTTAGTATATCGCTAGCCCAACAACACCTATCTGCAAATTTTATATAATTATTATAATTACGTTAAATTTTATAAGTCAATATATTTATATCTTTTTTTTTAATACATTAATGCTAAAGTGTCAATATTATTAATATATAAACATTATTATACATTTATACCTATAATCCGTATGTATAGTTTATATTATATGTATATAATATATAAAAAATGCTATGGGGTGGGGGAGGTTTTGCTATTTTCTTCTCCTCCCCCCCTGAGCAACATGTTAACCTTCACTGCATAATCCATATCCATATGGTTGTATGAATGTTTAATTTCAAGTTAAAATGATATATTACCTATAATATGATGAATAAAATTTATATTTTTAAATGTTACAGGTACCTTAAACAATATCGACAATAATACTATGTTGTAACGATGTTTATAATATTTATATATATAGGTACATATCATCGAAATTAAATATTCGAACAAAATCGAAAATAGAATAACGTAATATAAACATTTACTAAAATCGTTTAACAATGTGTTATGTGTAATCTATTTATTTTTCAATGTTCCATGGTTTATACGATATGTTTTCTTGTAAAATATTTAATTACTAAGTGAAAATCCTATTCTCATTTTAATTTCATTTATATATCTCTGGTTAACATATAAAAAATAATTCAACGAAGAGTGTAGATTATACATTTATTATCATACATTATAAATAAATTATTGATTCATTTTGAAATTTATTCTACATTGATTGTGTTTGTGTCTAGTAAATTTAAAAAATCACACCTATATAAAATATCATTCTCAAATGTTACTTAATTTAAGGTATTTTATATATATTATACAAATATCACAGATACAAAAATTATATTATTATTTATTATGTCATATTTATGCTAATAGCCAAGAAAAAGTTAAACTATGGCTTATTGCAGTAAACAGGTGTTACTTCGGACTCTTACCATTGTTAAAGACAAAACTAATATCAAGAAAATTCAAAGTAACATTATATAAAGCTTTAGTCAAATCAGACGAAAAAAAGTTGGAAGTGTTTGAGAGAAAGATACTGAGGAATATATTTGGCCCAAAGAGAAACTACGAAAGAGAATATTAAATACGAAGCAATAAAAACTTATAACTTATAACTTAACAAGAACTATATAACGAATCTAATATTGTTAAAACTTGAAAAGTGGGTGACTAGGCTGGCCCAGGACATGTATAAAGTCCAAAAGGACTAATTCGACAAATAACTGCATAGTAACTAAACGCAAAAAGAAGAAGGTAAGAAATAGGGAAGAAATAGCAAAGGACAATATGTTGTTGCGGCAATGGGCCTGAAAGCGCTGTAAAAAACTAAAGAAGAAAAAAATATCATATTTATTTCATATATATTCATATGTATTGAATTAAACATAGTATTTAATTATTTTAGTCATTTTTGAAGGTACTTGGTGAAACGTATTACTACCACGATTTTCGCTTATTCGACGTTATGGAGCTAACGAATACGGATATGAAATCGATTTATTATTTTAGTTACAATCGTTATAAATAGTGATGTTGTTTTTATTTTTTCTACTTCCTATAGTAGTTTACTCATAAGTAATATTTTTAGTTTTTCTGTTCATGTAATTACAATTTCGTTTTCTTGTGTAATTAATAATAACAAATTATTACATTAACTGAATCATACATAATATATATAATATATTATTATATATTAATAATTACAGAAATGGTGTAATAGCGAGAATCTACCTATATAAAATATATTTTTAAATATCACATCAGAAGTATATTTGTGTATTTCATAATCTTAGCTGTCGAGAAAAATTTGATTCACGGTGTTGTCTGTCTAACCTTAATCAATATTATTTAGAATTATTTCACTATATGCGTAACTATATAGTAAGTGAAATAAGTGTACATGTTGGTATCCAACTATAATCATTATAGTTTAGTATCATTATGTGTACTTACTACATAGTTCTCATATTTTCATACAGGAAAACCATGTAGCAATTTATAGTGGTTAATAGTTTTGAAATACCTTTAGGTACCTTATTTTTTAAATATTATTTTGTTTAAGTTAATATAAAAAATAATATTATAATATAAAAACTATATAGTTGTTTTATTAGAATGAACGATGAATCATTATAATATCTAAAAAATAAACAATTAGGTCTAATTTATAAACAGGGAGCATTGGAATAAAATATTGGATCAAATTATAAACACTGTCAACTTACCGTTAGACTTTCTCTACTTCAGTAACTACGGGGAGTAACATGATATCTTAACATAATCTTATGGAGTTTATTAGTCACTGTCAACACAATTCAAAAGAAGATTGTGAATAATCGAAAGTTTGCAAATAATTACATTTCTGGAGTTTTTAAAATGTATTTTTAATTATTACGATTAAGTTATTACGGATTTTAGTATCATAATGTTTTGCATTATCTATAGTTATCTATAGCTTTTTTATTAAGGAACACGTGGTATTATTTTAAAACGTAATAAATTATTACAATCATTTTTGATAAATAATTGTTTGATTTTTGTATTTCTGAAACGTATTAATACGAGTATGTTTAATAAATAAACCAAAATTTATATTATTATCAAGTGTGACTATATATATTTGTATATATTATATCACGCTCATGTAGTATGTATTAAGTGGATAAATAAATATAATGTTTAAAAAACATAAAGTAAGTTTTCATTTGGTTAGGAGCTTGGAATGTTAAGTTTGGCCAGTATATAATTTTTTATAAGGATAAAATATTAGGTTTACTAAATAATGATGAATTAAATGCAACACGGAAGAAATTTTTACATGAGTCAGTGTGCAAGGAAAACAAACTAATTTCAAGATAATAAATAATAATTTTTATTTATTGTTTTATAAATACAATTACCAGATTAAGTTAAAATGACATTGAATAGTAAACAATTAATTTAACGTCAAGATATTAACTAATTAACTAACTAACTAACTTCGAAAGAAGCTACATCTTTTGGAATTTTGAATTTTTAAATTTTTTTTTGAAACGCTGTTGTGTTACAATTAGCTTTGAAAATTATACATCTATACAAAAGTGTATAATATTGAATTTTACAACCAGTCTGGTTAATGAAGGATATAAACGAAATGATCATGGGAATTATTTGTGAGGAAAAAATATATTGGGAATTGATAGGACATTATAGGAGATTATGAAAAGAAATAGTATATTGCAACTTGAAACTTTAGTGTAGCTGTTTGGAAATATATTGCATCACTCATCAGAATTTAATGCTTTAGAAAAGGGTTCTGCCTGTTTTTCGTACACTCATCGTTCTAAGCGTTGCAGATTTCAAGACTGTCTCAGTTATATTAAACATTTCAATACGATTTGGCGAAATAAATGGGCGGATCGGGTTTATGTGTTTTAGTGGTCGTATAAAATCGGGTCACATGAAATAGTTTTGTTTAACTGTATGAAGATGAGAAGAAATCGAAGATAATAAGGACCAGCAAAAAAATGTGTTTAGATGCAGACTTATACGCCTTCAGACGTCTGAAACATCGTCCACACACATCGCGTTGGTGATGGGTGACTTTTGCGGGAGCGGTCGTACCGTGTCAGCAGTGCTCGGCGGTGGTGGTGATGACGACGGTAGCGGGGTTATACGCGTCTATTGGTGGTGATATTCAGTACGGTCTACGACTCTATATTTAAGTTGGCAACACCGGTGGCGCAACAATCCGTGCCGTGTTTATTTTCGTTGCTTCTCTTAATAATTTTATGTCGGCCAGCGGCGTCAGGTTAGTCGGGTTCGGGTTCTGTGCGGCACATAACTCGTGTTGTCCGCTTTGCCCCGTGCTGGTACGTTGTCCGTCGATCGTTTCGCGTGTGCACGATAACATCATATTAAAATATTATATTATTAACGCATTGTACCACCAATCGTGATTACCATACATATATATTTATATTAACGTATACGGTTTTCGTGCCTCTTACAAGATTTCAGCGGGGTTGGAAATATGACGAAGCAGAGTTTTAAAACTGATACCGTAATCCATGAATATTATTATTGAGTAGGTATATATTTTTACTATTGTCGTCGCACTTGTTCGGAGATTCGCGAGTTGGTGGTGCTTTGATAACCCTCTACTCGGTAGCTAACATCACCGGTGTCGAACGTCTGCTGCACCGGCGCCCTCGTCGTGTCCCGGGTACGGTGACGATGTCGTGACTCTGTCCACCGAAGGACGTGACACCGCACTAGACGGCCACGACAGAGAAGACGACGACGACGACGACTGAGCAGACGGCCACCCGAATGGGGTACACTGGTGGTAATGTTACTGGCCAGGGCAAACCCGAGTATGAAGCTTTGGTGAGCCGGCAAGAGGCCGAGATTCGCATGCTGGAGGTGATGCGAAGGTGCGTGACCAGCAAGCTTAAGTGCGATCGCGAGTATGCAGCCTCGTTGAGCGCGGTGTGCGCGCAGGGCTTCAAGTGCGGCCCTGGCGGTGCCGGCGATACGATTTCCGGTGGCAGCCTGGTGGCCGGAGCCTGGAAGCGGTTGTTGGACGAGTTGGATGCTGCCAGCCGGGCTATACGAGGCGTGTGCGATCGAATCGAGAAAAATACGCTGGAGCGAATCGCGGGTATTTGTGCGGAGAAGAGGAAAGCGAAAAAAACGTACCAGGACGAGTATAACAGGATTTCGCTGCAGTACAACAATGTGAGTGTTCAATATGTTGTTCCTTCCCTCCCCATTAATTGGGTTCATTGTCCGGGTGCCGGAGGTTCTTTTTCGCGCGACAACAGAACCTGATACCGCCACTACGAACTATAGTAGTATCTGATACTCAAATGGCGTCTCGTAAATTCGCATACATTGGCGATAGGTTAGGCAGATATTTTTTCGAATACATTTTAATTAGTGAGCTAGATAAGATACAAAGTACAGATGGTGGCGTCATTGGGATTTTTTTTTTTGGGATATTAAAATTGTTTAGTCAAAATTTGTAAACTCAATATCTCTCCCAAAAAAACTATTATGTACAAATGTATTTGTACTTAAGTTAGATTACTATTAAATTATATTTATTATTATTCTTCAAAATTATTAATGTTTATAATATATAGGGTAAAACTAAATCGAATTTCCTAAATTTTTGGAAATATATATATATGGCGACGCATACAGTACAAAAAATACTGCAAAATACTAGTAAAGTAAAGCTCTGGGGGATATATACCCTCATTCTTCCCAAAATATAATATGTATATACATTTAATATAGTATGTGTAGGTTAGTTATTAATTCCATGTATTGTTGATCGCGCGTGTGTGTGTGTGTGTGTGTGTGTACATTATTCGACCGCAACCAAACGGCAGTTATGGAATAGCGTTGCGAACATTCTCTTTCTATGCTCATACCCTCCTACGCTCATAATACTTAATGTAATAGTAATAATAATAATGATAATCACGATAGTAAAAACACTGCGTGTGGTGTATAATATCATTACTTTTTTTTGGTGATGTATTTGAAAAGGGTGGTGAGGTGGGGTGAGCGAGATCATCCTCCCCATAAGTTGATATGTTTGTATAGTATTTGCTGTATATAGGATGTTTCGAAAAAAAAAAAAAAACGCAGGATTTAAATCTAATATATTAAATTTATTTCTTTTAAAAAAACATAACAAATATATCATTCTCTTCGTGAGAAGTTAAAGTTTAACAGTGAAAAACAATATCGGCTATATGACCCTCCATACTAGTCTTATAGACGATTATTCTTCCCATACAATTTACCATCACTGGATAACCCAATGCTCCATCAAGTTCGTTGAGGACACGACGAATTTCTTACTTAATTTTCAAGACATTTCAAACTTTGTTCTGGTAAACTCGTGACTTAGTGTATTCCCATAAGAAAAAAATCACACGGCGTCAAGTCGCAAGATAGCTTTGGCCACGCAACGAGATTAATCTATCCGGGAACTTCTCACGCTGTAGAGGGATTGTTTCTTTTAAAGTGTAACAAGTTGCGCCGTCTTGTTGTAACCATATAAGTATATCAACTGAGCTCAGTAATTTTCTTTGGCCTTATTTGGACCAAATGAACATCAAAAATATTTGGTTTCAACTTATCACACTTCAAGAGAAACAATCACTCTGCTGCGTCCCCGGAAATATTGTAAATGGAGCCCTGCAATTTAAGTCTATGAGTAAAGGGCCTAAAATTTAATTTATGTTGCTCAAATTAAATGTAATTTATTATAAAATATTTAGTAAATAATAAATGATGTTTCCTAGTAAAAGAAATAAAACGGAATTTTCTAAATATTTGTGCATTAACGTATGATAATATAAAAGTTACTATTGATTACAAAAGTACAAATCATAAATAAAATTTAAACTATCCGAGAAAAATATACGAGATTCAAGGAAAACATATTATAACTTATATATTCATCGGGACTAATATACCACAATATTTAATAAAAAATTAGTTATGATTTTTTAATTATTTATATGTTATACTTTATTAAATATACACGTTTTGTTTAGATAGGGCCCAAAAGTATAGTAGTTACCCTCTGAAATATAGGTCTGCGCTCGTCTAGGCCTATTGCTTATTATTTTTTAGTACCTAATGGATGTTGTATAGATATTTTATGTATCTAACATATTAATATTTTTTTGGGAGTTTTCAAGAATTATATTACGTACATTTTTAAAAAAATAAGTACCTATATTAAGTGTAATAAATATTGTTTTACTCTCAAGACACATCTGACATTTTTCGGGGAGGGTTAAAGAAATATAGGTTCCATATTTCTTGGGTGTAATTTTTTAACTCTCCCCTCCACATAGTTAAGTCAAATACAACACTGTGACGGTGTGGATGCGTCTGATAGCAGTATGCAGGTGCATCCGTGAAAGATTCCGAATGTTTTTTAATATTTACGCGTGGACGTACTGTTATACTACTACATGTACGTACACTATAAAAAAAAAAAAAAACCATGATCGTATCTTGGTGTCCAATCGTCGTTGTCTCGTCGTAACTAGTTGACGACGATCATCGTAAACGCGTCGATACATTCGGTACGATTTTTTTTGTTTCCTGTTAGGATATTGATTCGATTCGACATTCGTGACTGAACGTTTACGTTTTCGCGTTGCAGGACGCTGCTATATTATACATGCGTATACATATATTTGTTTTAATTAGGTTTTGTGTAGCCGGTAAAACGTGTTTAGGCCTGACGTTCCCACGGTCTAAGTGTGAACATTGTTCCGAGATGCAACACCGCCGTTAGTGCTGTCGAAAACCAGTGTAAATGCCCGTATTTAGAAGAAGTAATAATTACTATTATGATAATAATAATAGGATACAAGTTATTGCGCTTGTTGGTGCCCACTATTATGTATATATATATATATATAGGCAGTCTAAATAGCCTCAAAGGTGGCATATTAACACCACGCCGGTCGCCCGAGTTATATACATGTGTAGTAGGTACTATGTAATCTAATTATTACCTTTCTCTATTTATCGCAAAATCTGACTGTAGTAAATCGCGTAAACCGCGCGATGTAATGACAATTTTAACAAGTGACACATTTTATCATTGCACAATTTAGCGTCCGTGTTTATTTTTTATATAAAATCTCATCAAACATGCATATTCGCCATTTGTGCGCGCTGTACCATACCGTTGATTATAGTTTTGTAATAAATACCGTTTGATTTTTGTAAAACGTGTGTTTATCATATTTAACGATAACTTAAACGAATTCATATTTTTACGGGTATATTGTAAAAGTATAAAATATAAATAGGCTGATACAACTTTTCGATAACATCACGCATTATTGAGCAAATGTTAAGTGTACTTACAAGTGACTTCGATAGTGGACCCTGTGAAAAACCAACATTTCTGCGTACTCAGTGAGAGTGAATGGGTCTGTACTAGCAACGAACGCCGGGGTCGTTGGACTGCTAATGCGATCGTAAATATACACACGTTAAGCGATATGTGTATAATATATAAATACATTGGTGTTAAACACACGGTGCATATTACTACGATAAGCTATAAACGCGCGAGGATACCATGACATTTTTTAATATAAATTGTAGTTTGTCCATGTCCATGCGGTGTAACTGCGCCTTTTTCGTCACATGTATGTTGCGGTTCGCAAAATCTAAGTACTTCTCGTGGGTATTTTTCTAGGGCTAGTGTATAGACGTATCTTGGGTGTTGTATGGTATTTATTATATTGCTCGTTAAATCGTACGAACGGCGTTTGTACTCAAAAGTGTTGTTCAATAAATATTATGATTCAATTATTATGGTGCGAAAGTGTCGTGTTTGTATATATGTATTCTATTCGAATAGACATTATACTCAGTCTTGTGTTACACAAATGCTCTCGTATACGAATATAATAATGTAGTAATAATATAATAATTATGTTATTTATATTATATTTACTACATTAAAGTATATATATATAAGAATGTTTTATAATATATACTTACCATTTCTAAACGAGAGTATTTTAACGAAATTCCAACGAGGTGTGCGTGGGTCAGCCGCGAGAACCGGTGTGCACGTAATTCGAAGACAGAAAAAACGTCGAACACCGCCCACGGGGTCATTTGTTTGAGCTCCGTCAAGTGCCGTCGAACTTGAAACCACTGACCCACTTGCCTGGTTTACATTGTTCCTCCCGCATATGATATCTATGTACGAATTTAAAAATCCACCGACGTCCCGAAATGCGAGCGATTCTTTTGGTTTCTGCTCGGGGGGTATTTTATCATCACCATAGACGTCTATAATATTTAAAAAATATTATAATGTATTACATTCTGCGGGCGGACGAGCGTAATATACCTACGATCGGTTTGTACAACGCGAATACATTACTTTGATATAACGCAACTGGTTCCGCATGCGTCATTCAAACCTGTCTGAGTAAAGATACCATATTATATATTATTATTTCGAGCAGACGCCAATCGCCTTTCCTATAATACCTACCCGTACGGCCGGTTGAATATCTTGAAACGCGATGACGGTGAGATGTTGTTGCTTGCGAGTGTCGGAAACTGCGGCAGATTTCTTGCCGGACATCCGTATCCTGTCCCCACTGCGAGACGATTCGCGTATTGTTACATAAGTTCTGTGCAGATTGATTTATTTTTATTTTCATTTGGAGTGACCTTGATCCGTGCATACCATTACTACGGTTTCGGCCTATTTGAATGCAACAGGTTGGTATAGACCAGGTTATCAGACATTCCACACCTTGTTGCGAACCGATGAAAGTGCTTTCTCGTGTCTTTGCTGATTTATTCGTTGTAGATGCCAACGTCCTTTTTTATGTGCTTCAGCAAAGAAATACGATTTCGAGGAAGTCAGAGTTGAATATTTCATAATATCTTAATATTGAATTTGTTTAAATAATCAAGCGGGACGATTGCTTAATTTTTTTTATTCTGCGTTTTTTAGTGTTTATAGAACAAATGGGAGTACATTACGAGTTACGAGTTTTTCTTTCAGTTTTTCAGTATTCGTTATTAAAATTATTTGATAACGTTCAAAAAATGTTTTGCTTTATAGGTACTTAATAAAAATAAAAATCAATTTTTTAACCGATCAAAGATGAATCATTTAAATGTATAAATATTATATAAAAATAATATGAAATTAAATA